CACACACAGCTCCACCAGGGGAGAGCTGGCAAAGTGGAGTTAACAAGGAGCAGACCCATGAATTTTAGGGGGGAAAATAAAACAAACAAGGGAAGTGCAGCTCTGTGCCCAGCTCAAGGTGCAATAATAAACAGGCTGCAGTAATGTGGAGCAAATGAGGGTCTGACATGCTGCGCCACTTAGTAAGCTGCAGAGGCAGGGAGAGCTTGAAGCACATGCTTGGGACTTTACTGCCAGTGGAGCTCTCAAGGTTGGGGCTTTGATGTGGGAGGTGGGGATGGTGCCAGAGGAATCCTCACCACCCCAATAGGGACCTGGCTGCAGCCCCACCGCTGTGCTTGGGGCTGGGGCTGCTGCTGCCCGGGCTGGCACTTGGGCTGAGCTCATGGAAAAAGTGGTGGGCTCACTCCTTTTGTGAGATTTGCCAAACTGACCCAGGGCTAATGAAAGGAGGTGTTTAATTAGAGGGTTGAAGGTAATTGGGCACAAAAGCGGGCAGTAAAATGCAGCCATGGTACAAAGGAGTTGAGGAACAAGGGCTTAATCCTGGAACAGCACATCTGATTTACTCTAAATTCCCTGGCCAATGCTTCCTCCCTCTCCTAATGAGGGAAAATGGCACAAATCCCCACTAAGCAGTTTATTCCTGACTTCGAGTCACCAAAACCATGGCACTGTGCTCCATCCCGGAATGATCTCAATGCATATGCTTTGAGTTTAAAGGGAACAGCACAGCCCGCATCTGCAGCTTCACGTCTGCCAGGCTGCAAAGAAGTGACCACTGCAGCTTTCTATGCATGGGATCAAGCATCCATCTGCAGTGCAGCACACCGTGCATCCTCTCTGTGCTGGTAACAGAACGACCCTGCAGTGATCAGCAGGGAGCAAGCGTGCCTCTCCCTAACAACCCACGTGCTCATCCCAGGGATCAGAAAGCAAATGCATCCATCTGTAGCATCCAACTCACCCCACGTTGTGACCACGGGCACCAATGGCTCACGGAGCCCATCTGCCCATCCCCATGCCAAGGCCCAGAAGGTACAGAGGGTGCAAGGAGCTGGGAGGGCCTTGGCCCCAATGCAGACTCTGGTCCAAGGGCTGGTACAGGTTCAGGGTTGTGCTGCTAACATCATTCCTACCGTTTTGTTTTCGTATGGGTTTTTTTTTTTTTTTTTTTTTTTTACTTTTTTAGGAGCTATTTTAACACAAACCATGCTGTGTTGTGAAATCACAGCCCGATATAGCAGACAAACACACACAACTGACAAAAAAACGCCCTGCCCAGCCCTTGTCTTCCCAAACTGAAATATGGACCCAGAGCATCTCCCCTGCAGCCCTCCCATCCAGGATTTGGCCATCCCAAAGGTGGAGGTTGGGCTCCTGCAGGTCCCTCCCGCACAACAGGGACTGTTGTAAAAAGCACATTTTTCTGTCTCCCTTCCCCACTGAGGACGGCTTCGTCTTTAAAAAACAATCTCTCTGCCTTCTCCTATTTTGGTTGTTTTTATATTTTATTTTACAATAGCTTGTGTAATCCATTCCTCATGTTCCAAAGGCACTCGCTTCTTCCAGCGGGAATGGAAAATCATTGTTTCTTTTTATTTTCCCTTTTCTTTTTCTTTTAATATGTTTATGTTATGGAAAATACCCCCAGACTGCAGACGCATTGACTGTCCCACTCTCTTAAAAAAAAAAAAAAAAAAAAGAATAAATAAGAAAATAAAATTTAAAGCATTTTCAGAAATGGAAAAGCCAAGGAGGATGCTGCGGTTGAAGCCCCCCAGGAGACCCCCACACTGTCTCACTCCCACTGCAGACTTCTTGCGTGAGCACAGAGGAATTTTTCTCATCTTACTGCATAGAAAAATGCAAAATGCCTCCCTCAACCCCACAGCAATCCCAACCCCAGGATGGGGTGGGCAAAGCCAGGATGAATGGTGGTTATGCACCACATTGGATCCTGGAGGCCAATGGGAGAGGTCCAGGTGCCCCAAGGGCACACTGCAACCATGACAAAGCCTGTCTCTAAATCCATGTTGGTCCAGAAACAGGGCAAGGCTGATGGGTTTTGGCCAACAATTAAAACTAAATCTCTTGAAAACCAACCAGACTTGGCTAGGAAGAGCATTTGCTCCAGCATCCAGCGTGGTTTCCCAGGAAGGCATTGCAGAGCAGCGCTCAGCTCACACCATTGACTTTCAGACTGAGTGATGCTTTCTACATAGGACAGGAAATGTTGTGAGAAAGTGGTGTGAGCTTTAAAATGGAAAAAAAAAAAAAAAAAAAACTACCAAAAACAGCTCCAAGGAACCCTGACCGAAGGGATGGCCGAGGCTTCCAAGGGACTTCAGCACTCAGAATGGAAGGGATGGGGGCGCTGCTTCAGCCCATTTTCAGCATGACCCCAACAGTGACCCCGAACAAACAAACATGACCCCAGCAATGACATTTTCTCCCCGCCCTGGCTGGACGTGGCCATAAGAAGAATTGGGTGTGAATGCAGCACGCAACGGGAGGAAAGGGGAACGTGAAGCCACGAGACTGAGCTCGGGGCCATCCCACTGGGCTGCTCCACGTGCTCCTGCTATCAGCTCCATTTGGGGATATTTACGGCGTGGCCGTGGCTCAGCCTCACTGCTTCGGATGGGAAGTCACATTCTTGCTCCTAATGCCAACCATGTGTGGATCCAAACACACAGCTCGTTCTTTGTTTCCCAAACTGTACGCGGCCAAAACAGTGGACCGCAAACGCTGACGACGTATCAGAGGAGATCAAGTCTAAGAAATCATCATGAATTAAAGCTCTCAATACAGGGAAACGCCACTGTCTCCCTACCCCCGTTAGATCATAACAAGGTGACGAAAGACAATGGATTTATACCCATTCCCTCACCCCAAAACACACAAACAGAAATATATCATATAAAAAATAATAAAATAAAAAATAAAGACATGCCATGAGCCAGCGGGGTGTCCTTGGAACAGGCAGAGCCTCTGACAGGCAGTCAGAGCAGCAAACAGCCTTCCCCAGGAGGGGGGGATGAATGGAGACAACACAGACTTTGTGGCCCCGGCATGCAGCTCAGGCTCCCCAGATGGCCCCCAATGGCCCACTCCATTGGAGAGCAAAAAATGACTTTTTCTTACCAAAAAAAAGTGTTTTGAGTCTAACTAGGGGATACCTTTGTTGGGGGTTTCTTTTCATTCCTTCAATGTTTGTGCAAACAGACCTCCATTTTCATGGATATTACCAGAAAAGTTAACAAAAAAATAGGAATAGGGTTGAATCCAAAATAGCCCTGAGGCATTTAAGTGAACGTTCATGGCTGTTCTGCAGTGTTCGCCCAAACGTAGCTGTGCGCAAAGCTGGGGATTCAGGCTGGATGTGAGCAAAGACTTCTCTGAAAGAGTGCTAATGCGTTGGTGCTGGGTGCTTGGGGAAGTGGTGGGGTACCATCCCTGGAGGTGTTCAAGAACCATGGAGATGTGGCTCTTGGGGACACGGTCAGTGGGCAGAGTTGGTGGCAGGTGAACATTTGGACTGAATGATCTTAAGGTCTTTTCCAACCTTAACGGTTCTGTGCAGGAGAAGATGCTCTGAGTTCCACATAGAAAACCATTTGGCCATATTCCATCCTTGGAGCAGTCATTTAATCCTCCCCCTTTTAATAAAAATTATGTTTGAAACAAAGATGTTTATTGCTTTTATAAGTTCCTATTTGTATGGAAATTGCATACAAGACGTGATCGTTCTGTTTCTTGCTCTCTTTTTTATTTCTGAATGAGCAAGCTCAGTTAAACCTCAGCGCTACTTCATCTGGCTTTGGAGGCAGAAATACGGATTAAAAAGAGCCATGCAAATGTTTTTTATAAGCTTCTCTTATTTCCTTGCCACGGGACTGCCTTTAATTATCTCCATGGAGCACAAAGGACACATCTGTAGTGCCACCATCCCTGAGTGCAGGGCAGCAGGACAGATGTGGTCCGTGTGTCTGTTTGCCAAACTCTGGCTCCTCCTGTCCCTGTCCCACACTCAGTGCTCAGGAGGACACAGGGAACCTCTCGGTTCTGCAAGCTGACCCCATTGATCTGCCTCAAAAGCACACGTAACGTTTGGTATTCTCAGAAATAGGCCAAAATCCTGTCTATGTCTGATGCATTTCTTGTCACGTAGCCAGATGGCCCCGCTGAATTACAGCATCTGCTGTTCTGCTCCTTCAGCAGGGATGGGTTTGGGATCACTCTGCCCCATTCTATTCAGGTTCAGTCCGACCGAACCATCTGCAGAGCCGTTGCTCAGGACCCGGGTCTTCCTGGCCATGATCAGCTCAAGATTTTGCTTGTACTCCTTAACTACAGCTGCAAAGCCAGGATGGCAAAAGGCAGCAGCTCACAGTGTTCTGCCCAACTCTTTACAAACACTGAGCAAAAAGGTCTCACCCCACACCTTGCAGCCATGCTCCTCAGCAAGAGCTGTGGGCAGCCTGGATTCCTCACACTGTTCCTTCACTCACTGGTTTCAGACTCAAGACATCACCCAGTGCACACCCAGCAGCTCGCCTGCACAGCATTCACACTCCTGTGAGCAGCATTTGGAATTGCCCCATCCTTGCAGATACCCCAGGTCAAAGGATGGGGCTCTGAGCAGCTCTGGGTGTCCCTGTTCACTGCATGGAGGTCAAACCAGATGCCCTGCAAGGGTCCCTCCAACTCAAACGACCCTGTGGATCTCAGCACAGTGCAACCTCCTTGCTGACCCTCCATTTCCCAATGGGAACACAACCACGTGGGAAAAGGAAAAAATCAAACAGCAGGAAACCACACAGCAAACCTGCACGAGGACGGCAAGGCGCAACGCGTGGGGAAGCCAACAGAACACCACAACGAGGAGAAGGGAGAGGAGATGTGCAGCAAAGCTGCGGCACGGCCCAATGCTGGTTGGCTCCTCCACAAGATCAATAAACAAACACAACCCCAGCAGCGTTTCCTGCTGCACTCACCACGCAAGAAAGTGGAGGAGTAGGCGGCGAAGGAATCGAAGACGCCGTTGGAAGCCATCCCCTCAACCCTGATTCTCACCCTGCACTCAGGCTCTCCTCGAGCAGCTGCAGGAAGAGGAGGAGGGACGGGGAGGAAGAGGAAAGCCTGACAGCAGTGCAGGTAGCCCGGCTCAGTCGCGGCGTTGTGGTCGGGAGCGCAGCATCGTCTGATCTGTGGCGTCAATGGCCCTGATGGTGGATGTGGTGGCCAGGCTGGGCTTTTTCCTCTTTTTTAATAATAATTTTATGGCTTGCGTTCGTTGGTTCGTGGTGAGCGACAGACCGAGATGTTTTTTCTTTAATTAATCACACTGCTGCCTGAGAAGAAACAGAGGAGAGAGCCCATGGGTTCCTAATTGGGTGATTGAAGTAACGGCCCATTTACAGGCAGTGGTTTTCTCCTTTTAACTGCCTCTTCTCCCACATTCGCCACTCATCCGCACCGATGTTTGGAGCTGTGCTTTCTGACTCCTGGCCCTTGCAGACAATCACTGGTGCTGAGACTGCTTCCATATGTGTAGATGGGTGGTTCTTCTTCACAGGGATTTTATGTGAATTAGCATTAAGCAAAAATCTGAAGCACATGCGGCAGAATAAACACGGCTCTCCGCAGAGCAGGGACCTGATGCCGTTGCTCTTGGGGTTTTGCATCTCTTTCCATGCAGAAAAAGGGTGGGAGGTTCAGCCCCCATCTGGCTCAAGGCCCAGTAGGGTCACGAGGGAGAAAAGTGAGGATAGGAGGTGCTTTTAAGGCTCTATTTCTGCCCTTCATCAGGTGCCAGCTGGGAGCTCTGATTTACACACATAGCAAAACATCATCAGCTGTGCTACCCGGGGAGCTTTGCAGGGGACTTTTTCTCTCGGTCACCTTCCCACCACCTCATTTTCCCTAAATCATGGCTATGCCATCCCCACAAACACAGCACCAAGCCCCTCAGGCACAGCTGGGGCTACTGGCCTTGGTCATTGCCCCTCTGCAATCCACAAAACGGGTCTCTATCCTAAGATTTCTTTTCCAGCCTTTTGGAATCAGGATATTTCCCCCACAGGTGAGGCTCTAAGTGCTCCAATTTGCTCCCTCAGATGTAAGGGTTTATTCTGTGGCCTACAAAGCAATGGTTATTCCCTTGCTATCTGTACGCTGTACCTACACAACATTGCCAGTGTGGGTCACGAAGATCAGCACTGCTTCATTGTGTGCACTGACTGCATTTGGGTGAGAGCAATGGGCACCTCCAGCAACCGGTATGGATATGCATGGAAATCCAAAATCCCTCCCCTAAGACCTATAAGAAGCAATTGTAGGACAAAACCCACATGAAACCCTTCATCTGTTGCATCCATTGACAAGAAGAGTTTGGTATTCTTTTTTGGTAGCTGTGAAATGGAGCAGCAGTGAGGTGAAAATCCCACCCTGCAGGAAGCACAGAGGAACACAAGGTGATAGAGGGAAACAGCATTGCTGATGTTTTTGATTGTGTGTGCAAAGCACAGCCTGGGAGAGGGCATGTGATAACAAGAGCCAATTAAAAGTTCTCATGCAAATAACCCATCTCTTCCATGGTCTCCTCTGCAGAGCTGAGCATGCAGCTCTCCCACCAACATGCTCCTGCAGTACAGGAGAAGTCCCAAGCTGGCTGGAGGCAGCAGATGTGCTGCAAGGGATTGTTTTGCTTTGGTTCAGTGCTTTATCTCAGCCTCAGCTGCGCACTGTGCTGCCCAGCTTTGCAGGGATGCAGCAATCCCAGCAGCTGCCCAAAGCCAAGGACCCAGTGCGAGTCTGGGAGCTCCATCTCTGTTTCTGTGATTCTGTGATTTCTGTGATCTCCTCCGAATGCTCAGAGAGAAGCACCAGGCCAGGCTGGCAGCACCACCCCAAACCTCCCCACTGCTCCAAAGCTTCACATTCACTTTCCAGACATTGCTGCTCCCAGCTCACGTGTGATGCAGGAACTGCAGCGCTGCCCCAGTGCTGCAAGCTGCAGGAGCAGCCGTGCACTTCTAGGTTAGAAAACCCAGCGTTTTACCCTCCTCTGCTCAGAAAGAACTGACACTGACTGCTGCAAACAGGTTGCCGTAAGCACACTGACACAGGGGCTTTACAGCCCGTTGACTTCCTCTACGGTGCTGCTAAAACCGCGGCTGTCTGCAGCCGCCCTCCTCTCCTGCACCGCAGCTCTCACCTCTGGGAACAGCACAACCAAACCCGGCCCCAGGGCTGCAGGACAGCAGCCCCAGCACTGCTGTACACACTAATATGTGCACCCAGGTGCAGAGCAAAAGGCAGAGCTCAGGGTGTCAGCACTTGCTGGTTTGGTCCATAGGACACCACCACAGCATGCATGGTGCTTCCCAATTGCAGCAAGCGAGGTGGGATGGTGGTTTGATGTGGGAAAACGAGGCATGGGGTGATGGGGATTAAAACCCCTCTTCATTTGGGCTGAGGGCAGACAAATCCATGCCCTTAGCCCTGCAGTGCGCCATCACCTTTTGGAAGGCTGCCTTTTAGCCAAAGCAGCTGTCAGATGTTCTGAAGCCACAGTTCAGCTTTGCTTGCCCCATTCCCCTGCCTAGTGGCTATGCCTGGGCAGCACAGCTCTTCCCCATGCCGGCTGTGGCTTCAGCCATGGGAAACAAGGCATGTGATCACCTCCATCCCAGCTATCATCCTCAGCCTCGCCGGCGCCAGGCTGCTCTTCGAATGCCACGCACTGCCAGGACCCCCCTTGCATGCGCCCGTGGCCGAGAGGCACAATGCTGCCATTATAACCCCAACGCTCTGCTGATCCCCTGCAGCACGGACCAGCCACGCGGTCGCTCCTTTCTCTGTGCGTCCGAAGGGTTAAAGGAAAGCACCCAAGTCTTGGAGCTATGGGGTGAGCTGCAAGCAGAGGGAATCTGCAGTGGGTCAGGGGATTGTCCAGAGAAGGGACCAGAGCCCTGTGGTAAGGAGGGAATAAGGAGAGAAATGCATAAAATGCTTTTAGGAAGGGGCCAGGAGTCAGGGGCAACGTGCAGACACTCAATGCTGCCTTGAGGCACAGACCCTGTGCCTATGTGGGGGTCTCTGGAGCCCTGGAGATGGGTGCTCCTGCAGGACACCGCCTGGTCCTGGGGCCATTCTCACACTATCAGCGAGAGCACAGCCCTGCAGGGCTTTTATCTCTCCTTTCATTATCGCAGGATTGAGAGCAAAGTAGAGAAATTGCAGCTGAACGCACCACAAAGCAGCGCGCAGCCCCGCACCGCTGGGCACCCGGCTCTGCTCGGGGTGGTGATTGCACCATCACTGGTCACACCACGGTCACGCAGTGCCCTCCACCCGACCCTGGGATCACACGCTGCTGGCACCTCCGTGGACCACATCCCTGTCCTCCTGTGCACTCAGCTCTATAAGCCCCAGCCCCTGTGCGCTGCCAGCATGGCGGCGATAGGCTGCGAGGTCCCTTCCAACTCAAACACGCTGGGATTCTTTGATTCTCTGATTCCAGGTGCAAGCAAAAAAAGCACATGGGCCAGCAGGCCCTCGTGGGTGCAGCCGTGGGGTCAGACAGGGGAGAGCAAAGTGGGATGGAGGAGATGAACAGCAGAGCTGCAGGGACAGCTGCAACAGGGGGTGCTTGGGATGACTTGGAAGGGAATGGCCCCCAAAGGGGAATCACACCCCCAGGTGATGACAAAGCACTTCAGCTGCCCGATGGCATCCCCCAGTGATGTCACACCATAGGCATCGTGCGGCTGCTCCCTGTGGGGCTGCATCCAACCACACAAAGGGAGAGAATCTAAAAATATGCCCAACCTCAACCCATCCACAGAGCACGAGGAAGGTCCCTTTTCTCCCCGAGTTTTCCCATTACAAAATAACAAGGGGAACATGCAAAAATCACCCATCCATTTTAACGGCTCCTCTCGCAAACAGAGATGCAAAAACAAACAATTTATGGCAAACAGTGTGAATTTTTGTGTCTGGTCTGTGGTCTTAGAGCATACATTACACAAGAAGAGCTCTCTGCAGAAGCCAAGGAAACCAAGGCGGCTGCTGGTGGGTTCTCACTCCACACGTCTCTCTGAAGGATGAGCAGAGCAGCAATAACCCCACGCTGACCAGTGTGGAGGAGGAGGACCATGGGAGAAGCCCCGAGGTCTGTGCCCCACCACACAGCCACACCACACACACAATTAGCCCTGATGTGGTGGGATGCACGAGGTCTAAATCAGGGATAAAATGAGCCCCAAGGACCAAAGGATGACTATGAGCCTGCACTGCTTTTTCTGTTGAACTCGTTCCAGTCCCACAGTGTTGCCACATCCATTCCCTACCAGGGCAGCACCTGGATTCATCCACACAAATCCTCTTCCAATCCTGTCTCAGTTTGCGGTGCATCTCCTGCTTTGGGGAAAGACTTTTTCCTTCTTCTCTTGCCTCCTCGTGCACAGCAAACTGCACACCTGGCAGGATGGGAACCTGCTCTGCTGACCCCAGAACATGGCTGGATCCCATACAAGCATCTCTTAAAGAAACAGCAGAGCAGCTGCAGAACCCCACACTTCTCCCTGCCAGGCTGGGGAGGGCAGAGGGCTTCTGGGGTGGCCAAGTCTGGGGCTGGCAGGGAGACCTGGAGCTGCCCTTGCACCCCTTTGCATTCATATTCATTTTTATTTAGTTAGAGAGCACAGCTTTGCTCATAGCAAAGCAACGGCGTGACCGCCTCGTGCCTCAGATGTAGGGCAGCAGACGTGGGAAGCTGCCTGGTTCAAAGGCTCACGCATGCCCTATGGATCCGGACAATCCAGCCTGCAGTAAAGTGGCTCCGTTTGGGATTTGGCATCTTGTAAATCTGCAAAAGTGGTGGGAAGAGCAGCACTTATTGATCCGACCCCAGAGCCTCTGTGATAAAAAGAGCTGCTCACTACAGTGTGAAAGCACAGGGCACAGCCAGCAGCTGACCCGGCACCCAGGGAGGAGCTGCTGTGTCTCCTACACACTTTAGGGCCAGAAGTGAGGCTCTCAGGAGGGTCCCAGCACTGGGATGTGGCCCCCAAGAAGTGTGCA